ACGGGGGAGGGGCAGAGAGAGAGGGAGACACAGAATTGAAACAGGCTCCAGGCTCTGAGCCATCAGCTCAGAGCCTGACGCGGGGCTCGAACTCACGGACCGCGAGATCGTGACCTGGCTGAAGTCGGACGCTTAACCGACTGCGCCACCCAGGCGCCCCGAAGGTTATCTTTGAAACATATACTGCGAAGCGCTAGAAGTGAAAGAAGAATTAGAATAGAGGACATTCAAAGTCATCTAGCATCAGTGTGAATAAAATTCTAGAAGGTCCATGACAGTGGTAGAAGAGTCCACACAGTTCTTGTGGACCTTATTTTTTAAAGTTGAAATCCTTTCTTGATTGGTACAAATATAAATTTGAGGAACAACGATAATAAGGACACAAGTGTGACAGTAGTGGGGTAGTTGCCTTTGTTATTATTCAGTTTTGATGTGATCTTGAGGGTCTCATATACACGGGGGCAGGAAGCCGGTGTCCGGGCTGAATCACGAACATTAGTTGGAAGAGGATCTCACGCACACCCCAGACCCCTGGATTTTCTTCTAAAGAACCCTCTTCTGCCTTCCTGAGGGTCCCGGGAGAAGAGAGGCACAAGCTGTCAACTTAAAAGTGTCTGTATCTTAGTTGGGGGATTTCCTGCTCTGAGCAGGAACTTACCAGCTCTGTGTATTTGTAGGTGTATATAGAATCAGTGATTCTGTCTTGACGTTCTGCCCTTGTCTTTTCGTCATGACAGAGCCAGGCGGCCCATCTTTTACCATCGGCAAAGCTATTTGGTTACTCTGGGGTCTGGTGTTTAACAACTCCGTCCCCGTGCAGAACCCAAAGGGGACCACCTCCAAGATCATGGTGTCGGTGTGGGCCTTCTTTGCCGTCATCTTCCTGGCCAGCTACACTGCCAACTTAGCTGCCTTCATGATCCAAGAGGAGTATGTGGACCAGGTTTCTGGCCTGAGTGACAAAAAGGTAAGAGAACCCTTTGAAACTGCCCATCTTGCCCTCAGTCCTATTCTGAGCCATACTCAAAAGTCCTCACATACCTGTTAATTTTCTCCACCTTTGGAATCGGGGCAGTTCTTTCTTGTGTTTCCTTACGTGGGGATATGGGAGCAGAAATCAGGGTCCCTACTGAAATAATAGTACTTCACATTCGCCTTCTGATTTGTGAAAGGTTGGCAAAAACACAGCCTGGGCTGCAAATAAGCAGCTTGGTGTGGTCGCGGCTTTCTGAGTATATGGTACCTCCTGCCGGATGTGCTTGGGTGGCCCGTCAGCACAGGGCTGCCTGTTCGGTGTGTTATTAGAGGGTTGCCCCCGGCACCCACACTGAGGGCGCTGGCCCATTGTGGCCTTCATTTTCTGCCCAGTGGGCTCTCCGTTTGTTCATCTGCACACCCGTGTGTTCCCAGGGCTAAGCAGGAGGGTGGTACGCATTGTTCCTGAAGAGAAGGAACTGCCGTTGAACTCGACGATTGCCCCGTGTGGTGCCAGTGAATAGGTGGCCCCCATACCCATGGCAGGCCCCCTGCCAGGCTGTGCAGTCGAGAAAGGAAAAAGAGTCTCTGCTGGTTTGCATCTTTCCTGGAGGAGGATGTGTCAAACCTGTCCTACACACGGTACTCCCCAGGTCTGCCTGAAGCTTCACGGTTTCTGTGGGCCATCTGTCCCCTGAGGCCATGATAGCTGGGAGGGTCCAAGACTAGGGATAGGAGCTACCTCCACGGAATGGCCAGTAAGACTCGGGGATGCCCCTGCATCATTCCGGAGACTCACCCACAACAGATTTCCCACCCTGTGTTTCCTCAAGAGTTAGAAAATGTGAAGGGCACCCAGGTGGCTCAGTCGGTCGAGCGTGTGACTCTTGATCTCAGCTCAGGTCGTGACCTCATAGTTCGGGAGATCGGGCCCCGTGTCAGGCTCTGCACTGACCCTGCAGAGCCTGCTTGGGATTCTCTCTCTTCCTCTCTCTCTGCCTCCCCCCTTTCTCTCTCAAAATAAATAGGATAAACTTAATAAAAAAAAAAGATTTAGAGAATGTGATTTCCCACCCCTTTCCCCAGGATGAAACTACAAGATATAGACAGATCTGTGTTTGGAACAGATAGGTCAGAGAGTCAATGATTTCTAACATAGGGCAGGTTTCCCCAAAATAAAATTTTAAACTCTTGGCAAATGGTTTGAGAAGAATTAAAAGGAAGGGCATAGGCTCTGATTTCTCCATCTACTCACCTCTGCTCACCGAGAACACTCAAAAGCATGTGAGAAAGGGAATGAAAAAAAAAATATATATATATGTACATATGAGGCTCATTCCCTGTGTTTACCTTTTCATATTAGCTCTTTCTCTGACTTGTCTCCCTTTGTTTTCTTCATTTAAAAAAAAATTTAACATTAATTTATTTTTTGAGAGACAGAGGAGACAGAGCCTGAGCAGGGGAGGGGCAGAGAGAGAGGGAGTCACAGATTCCGAAGCAGGCTCCGGGCTCTGAGCTTGGTCAGCACAGAGCCCGATACGGGGCTTGAACTCACCAGCCGCGAGATCATGACCTGAGCCAAAGTCGGATGCTTAACCGACTGAGCCACCCAGGCACCCCCTTTATTTTCTTCATTTTAAAAAATAATACCTCTTTTGTAGTTCTTCTTCCTTGTTTTTAAGTTTTTATTTACTTCGCTCTTCTAACGCATGATTTATTATTCATGTATTCATATATTCATGAATTTATTACTTAGTTCATTTTAAACATTTCTCTTTGGTCCTTCGTCCACATCTTTCATCATTATGATCCTGACTCAGAAGAGTTGAATTACATACCTCCCTTCACCCCCTGTTACACTAATTTTTGTGCCTGTTTCTGTGACAGGGGCAGCAGTAGGGCTAAGAACAGCTAGTTCCTCAGGGCTCCTCGCTTGAATGTAGCATAGATGAGGTGGACTGTGCCCGTCCTAAAACACGGATGTGGCAGCAGCATGGTGGACCGTGTCCTCACATGTGGATTTGCCAGGGGTGTGGCCGACCGTGTCTTCTCATCAGGCTCCGCGGAGGCTTGGTCGATCATGTCCCCACACGGAATATGGTGGGACCATATTGCCATGCAGTCAGTAGTATGGCAGAGGTACGTGGACCACAGTCCCTCTTGGAGCTCTGGGCTACTAAGTGAGGGATCCACGACATTTATCATTTGGTTTTCTTCAAGTATCTCTGAGAATTGCTTAGGGCACTGTCTTTATCTTTCCCATACATTCACGAGCCACCTGGCAGCAACCATACGATTTTCTATGTGAATTAAGCCTAATTAAGGTGCAAGGAGACGGTTTTCCCTTCGGTGGTTTTGAAAGAACATCTCGTTCTAGGCTGCTTAAACCAAAGAGGTTGTGCACCTGTCTGTCCTCCACACCACGTTGGTTATGTTCTGAAAAGTTGGATCCCATCAGTTCTTTGCTTAAAGAACGTCAGTGGCTCCCTTGCTTATAGAATACGGACTGTTATTCTCAGGGCCTTTACATATGATTCCAGTGTATTCCAGCTCTTCAGTCTCGTCAGCCAGTGCTTAGTGTCTTGCGGCCTACCCGCTAGGCCTCCTAGACTTCTTATCTTTGCCAGCCATGCCTCTGTGTGTGCATCTTCCTGGGATGTTCTTCTCTTGACTTCACTCACTAAACTCCTACTGAAATTTCCAGACCCAGATTAGAGGTCACTTCATTTGTAGAGCTTTCCTTGGGTCATCTGGCTGGTGAGTCATACTCTCCACTGACGTGGCAGTCATCCATACCTTTATTAATAACACCTGTCTTCCACATTATCATGTAATAATCTATAGGCCTCTACCTAACTGTATCTCCCCCATTTGACCATGACTTCCATAAGGGCAGCGGCAATAACTTGGTTATCCTTATTTTAAAAAAGTCCGTGAGGAGAGGGGGAGATGGGATATATTTACGTAAGAGGCTCTCGCGCCGAACACCGGACTAAGCATTATAGGCAAAGGTAAAACAACAAGAGAGCAAGAACCCTTTCACAACTGTGTAATTTGAAAATACGTGAAAATGGTTATCAGATACATTTCAGAACTTTGCAAATGACAAAATAGTAAAGTGTAAGCATCCTGCCAGAAATTGTGACATAATTGACATAATTATAGAAAACATTTAAGTAACTAATGACATATAACGCGTATCAGTGTCAGGAATGCTAATACAAATCAGAAAGAGGGTTTTCTGAAAGTGCGCTTATAATCCCAAAATTGGTATTAGTTTTCCTTCCCAACACCTTTAGAAAACAGAGTCTTGGGCCTGACTTTGCATGACAGCAAGTGTATTCTGTGAATTTAGAAAAAGAGAATGTAAAGAATGAAGTTGTCAAGACAGCAGCAGTGAGAATAGAAATGAGGTGATTTTGAAGATTCTTCTTTCAGTGCAGTTAAATTTTCATCAAGGAAAGTAACACTTGAAATGGAAGAGATTTCTTAAACTTGTTTTCACTGTCACGGATGGCGTATCTTCCATACAACTCCAATCAAATGGTGAATATCTTGCGGTGATGAGGAGATGACATTTATAGCCATTAAATTTATATATCTTTAGGAAATTATCTTCAATTTTTTGGCGGAGAAACGTTCCCAGATCTCATTTATGGCAAGGCACAAAATCAGAGTGTTCAGAGTCAAGTTTCCATGAGAACCTATTTTGGGGCTCCTTTTCACTGGATGGCTTCCACTGTGCACTAGCACATTACATCAGTGAATTCAGAATTATCCCACTACATGCTGTAACTAAATATGGGTGCAAGTTCTAACATTTAGCAGCCCTACTGTACATTCCCTCGGCTCCCCCAGTGGGAGGAAAATGTAAGGAAGCTGGTGACATCTTTCTCCTCTTAACAAAGAGCCCACCATGCTTCTTCTTCTACTGTTTCTCACCTATCCAGATGGATTTCTCATTTTGCAGCCCGCCGGCCACAGAAAGGAGGGGAAAGAGCCTGACCACCAGGTGAAGGAAGGGACATATTTACCGGGCCCTTTATGTACGTTACCTATATCTTATATGTGTATTCTTCACGTAGGTATGATCATTCTCGCTTTACAAATACGACACTGAGACTCTGGGAAGTGTACTGACTTCCCTAAAGTCCCACATTCGCAAGTGACAGAGCCAAGGTTTGAGTCCCTGGGTGTTTGGCTCTAAAATCACTTTGCCAGGATTTCTCCCTCGTAGCTCATCCCAGACCAAGTTATGACGTAGCTAAGGATTGGTATTGACACCCTGCCCCCGCTTTTTCATTTCATTTTCTGTTCTCTAACTTAATGACTTTCTGTATCAGGTCCACTAAACCCTCAGGTCACCATACACCGCCACCCCCAGGACTACTGTCACTACTACTGTTACGGATAATGGTAATAACAGTCATCGCTCTTATTAATATAACTTCAACAATAATATCTCTGTGAACGTTGTTTTCAGCTCTCACAAACCAGGCAGAATGCCAGTTACGTTACATAGATTATCTCATGTAATGACACTGTTAATGTTTTCATTTGTGGATGAGGAAACTGAAGTGGGAAAGGTTAAGTAATTTCCCTTTTGATGTTCTTCGCTGCCTAGGGCCCTTAAACAGTGTTCCGTCCTGTTTAGATCCCAGTGCTTTGTTTCCGTTAATCCTCCTCCTTCCTATCCTCCCATCTACCTTGTCAAAGCATAACACGTTAGATCCTTTTCCTCTACCAAAAAGCAGCTATCTGATGAACTGATCCACAGTAATTAGACAGTATCTTAACATTTGCACTTTATTTAAGGAGGCTTTCCGAGGCATTACTTTCAATCGAGAATGATGGTGATTTCCAGTACTTGTGCAGGTTAATGGCCCACAAATTGACTTTAGCTTGAGCCCAGTGTGACCCTGAACTTTCAGCCCCTGCTGGAGGAGGGGAGAGGGGTGGCAGCAGGAGAGAGAAGGGACACTTACGGAGTCA